AGACTGAAGAACAAAAGGACAGCAACTTGTCTGTTCCCCTTCCCCCAATTCCCCAGCACTGTTCCCATCCCCCCAATTCCCCAATAAAAAAATCTTTTAAAAAAAAAAGCAAGCATAAGTGATGTAAGAGAGGAAGAATATTACCAAATCAGTGGTTTGCAGATTTTTTCTTAAGATAAAATTTTATGTACAAACTCAATATTTAAAACTGATAAAAGCACAGTGGTTTGGAATATAGTGAGAAATGGGCATTTGTCCTTCCTATAGGATGGGAAGCAGATCTATAAAACAAATTTTGAAAACCACTGCACTGGATCAGCCTGACATTGATTCTAGCTCTGACATCTGTTGCCAGAAATCTGCTGATTTCTATGTCCAGGAACTGATAGGAGAGAAGGATAGGGAAGACTGCAGGGCCGGTGAAAGCTGAACTACCTTTCACAGCTGCCCATGAGGGTGGGGGAGAAGCACTTTAAGGAGAGGAGCTCCATAGGGATAGAGCTAAAGGTTAAATCTTTGCTCTTTAGGAAGAGTGACTAATGGGAGACAATAGACAGGACTGAGGGAGGAAGTATCACATTAAAAAATCAGGCAAGTTGGAGACAATAGGGATATTGGCCACTAAGATTTGTCTTTCCTCAAGCCCAACTATGTGACTGACTTCCAGAACCCTGGCAACCAGGCCTAAAGCATTTAGTCAAGTGTTTGGAACAATCTTCTCTGGCAAATCTAACCATCCCAAGTAAAAAAACCTAAATTTATTTGCATCAGAGATCTCTAACAACCCAGTCAAATCACCCTGTAGTGAAAATAATGGATGACAAATTTTGTTCATGTTCTAGAGCTTCCAATCAGCTTTTTAGAATTCTCTCCTAAATATGAAGAGATAATCCAAGATTAGCAGAGATCTAAAGAAAGCCTCTATCATGAAAGATAGAGACCAAATCAAATAAATAGAAAAAAGCAACTTAGGAGAAATAGAGACTCTGCATGGAGAGAAAAATTCTTTCAAACAACCTGTCATTTCAAAGAACAGGAAAAAAAAACCTCTAGGAAATTAAAAATATGAAAAAGGAAAACTTCAATAAAAGAATTGGAAGATAAATTTGAAATTTCCCAGAAAGTCAAGCAAAAAGGTAAAAATATGGAACATAGAAAAGGTAAGAAAATGAGAGGACCAGTCCAAGATGTCCAACATCTGAACAGGAGTTCTGTAAAAAGAGAGTTGAGAAATCTCTCAGAGGAGGAAATTATTTAAGAAATAATATAAGAAAATATCCCAGAGCTGTAAGATATGAATTTACAGAAGAAAGGATCTACTAGGTGCCTATCACAATGGGTAAATATACACCCATATAATTTAGAAATTTCAGAACATTCATGACAAAGCATACTACAAACTTACAAAGAAAAAGCAATAGGTCATATACAACTCATTAGGAACCAGAATGGTTTTGGACTTATCAGTAGCAATAATAGAAACTAGAAGATAATAGAACAATGCCTTCAAAAGTCTAAAGGAAAAATTAATTTGAATCTAGAATTCTATACCCAAGCAAAGTGTGACAATAAAATAAAGACATTTTCAAACAGGAAAAGTCTCCAAAACTTTTCTAGATGTGCTCCACCAAAATTAAGAATAAACCAAAAAGGGCCGGCCGAGTGGCATGATGGTTAAGAACTGGCTTGGGACGCCAGAGGGCCCCAGTTCGGATCCCACATATGAGGGCCAGTGACACTGCCCTCCACAGATAAGATGCTGAAC